TCTATCTATCTATCTATCTATCTATCTATCTATCTATCTATCTATCTGTTTTTTGAGACAGAGTCTTTCTATATATAGCTCTGACTGGCCTGGAGCTGACTTAAACTGATAGAGATTTGCCAGTCTTAGCCTCCCAAGTGCTGAGATTAAAGGTGTGTGAAACCACAATAGGCTCCATTCAATTTAACATTGTGTGTGTTTAAAATCACTTTTAGGCACAGTAGAGCTTCTTTTTAATTTATAGTAATTTGTTTCTCAGAAGGAATGGAAGCAGGTCTTTTGTTATATGTGGAGCAATACCCCAGCCAGAAGGCTTAGTGGAGATGTTCTTCACAGTCATAACCTGCAGCTGGGATCGAGCAGAGTTGGTTGGAAGACACGTTTCTCTAGATCCAGTTCAGCAGGGCTGCCCTGAAGGAGGCAGTGCATTGACCTGATGGCTCAGCTGACTGATCTGAAGTCATCGTAAACCACGTACCTCTGCAGGTTCCATAAGACCCTCATAGAGTTCAGTGGTCTTCAAATAGTGGGTCTCAGAATCACTGGGGCACTTTGGCAAAGACATAGCTTAAGGCTCTCTCCTACACTGAGGAACTTGGTTCTCTGTGCTGTTAGCTCACTGGCTCACCCCGGCCCGCTGCAGTTTAAACCTGCCTCCATCAGGGTTTTCAAACTGTACTGAGGATCACACTCAGGATGGTAGCATGCTCAGTGCTAGGCTGCGCCCACTCATTAATGTAGCAGAGCCAGACCACGCGTACTTCTCACACTTTCCGGGGCACACTGGTGCTTCTGGCCCAGGAACCCTACTTTGAGAACAACATCTCTCTATGTCTTCAGTTGCCAAAGGACTCAAAAGTGCGGCTCACGAGAGTGAGGCAGCTAATCAAAGGCATCACTGAGGCTAGGTCCCCATCTGCCCTAAAGCCAGGTGTTCAGGCACCTCAGACTCAGTCCTCACCACCCTGATACTGTTCATTGCTGTACTCTGTGGGTGCAAAGTGTGTCCACCGATTCGCTGTTGCTTCCCCCTTCACACTCACTTCACCAGGCGTTGAGGGCAGGGACCGTTAGTGTCATTTCAGATACAGGAACTAGGGCTTAAGGAGGTTCAGTGAGTTTCCCGGAGTCGTCTAAGTTTTAAAAAAACAGATTTAGGCAGAGCTTCTACTTCCAAGCTGATGTTGCTTACTAGAGTAATCAGAAACAGCCTACTATGTGCTGGTGTAAGTGCACTATACATATCAACTTACTTAATCTTCATAATCCTATGCAATGAATCTATTACATTCATTTTACACATGGGAAACTGAAGGACAGAGGGTGAGCAACCTAACCTGTTCAAGATTACAAAGCAATTAAGTAGAAAAGCCCAGATTTGAGTTCAGTGAATGCAGGGAGGTTCCACCTCCAACCTTTCTTTCTGAGCTACCATGTTACACTAGAAATGACAGTTTGAAGGTAGAGATGGGACACAGTGGGACACTCACTTTGACAGCATACTCTTTGCCAGTCTGCAGGCTCACAGCACCCTGGACTTTGGCATAGGCTCCCTCTCCCAGCAATTCAGAGGTCAGCTTGTACACATCTGGAGAGAAACAGGTGAGGAGAGAAAGCAGGTGAGTCAGCCCACTGAAAGCCGGGACGGGAAGGCTATTGCCGCTTGGCTTCTCTGGTCTGCTCATTCACGCAGACGAGACCATGGTGACTGCAGCCTCAGTGACAAGGACGCAGACAGCACCCCACTCCCAACAAGACTCGGCAGATGAGGTGAGAGGAGGGGCTTCACATATTCACTTCTGTCCTTCAGCTCCTACTTTCTGGGCATCTACTTTGTCAGGTAACACAATAGGGACACAGAGAGGAACAAAATTCCGTCCCTCCGCTCTAAGAGTTGAGTCCAGAGTTAAAACACAGAGTGGCCCTGAGCAACACAGGCCCTGGTGAGTACCACAGAGGGTCAGCACAGCAAGAGCAAAGAGTAGGGGGAAGAGCAACGAGGGAAACAGAATGGGAAAACCACTGGGCAATCCAGGGATCCTCAGAGAAGGTCTTATTTGAATGAACAGCATTCATTCATTTACTCATTTGCTGAACACTTATTTGTGCCAGGCATGGGGGATATGAAGGGAATAATATACAACTGTTTTATACACACAAAAGTGAAGGTCACTGGAGGAGTCTCAGAAGTTTCTGAGTGTCACCCACAGGAAACTGACACAGAGCACGACGCAAAGAATGCCTTGCAGTTCCAGGTTAGAATGGTCACAGCAGAGTGGTAATAGACCCAGGTTGGAGGAGCGCTCAGAATACCTGCCCATGCTCACAAACAACAAAGTTCTCTGAACCTTTCCAAAGGAAGTCGTGGCTCTACCACAACCCTTGCTTAACTGGCCTTGTTCTCCCTTGCTCCCTTCCTCAGTCTTTCTCTTGAGGCAACCTAGTCTTTAAACTCACTGTCTGAGCAGAAGACTTAATCAGCATCAGGAGATTTTATCACTCTTAGTCATGAGATGTCTGGTGCTTTCATCAACAATCCCTGGGTAACAGGAAACCCTTTTGTGTTCAACAAACAAAACACTTGCTGATTTGTGAACTCTTCTAAAACCCCAGGGATTTTTGTTTCTTCCATTCACACACACACACACACACACACATATTCAAATGTATGCATGCACGATATGTGTGCGTATTGTGAGTTATGAGTTAAGAGTAAACCATCAATGGCTGGAGAGATGGCTCAGCAGTTAAGAGTACTTGCTGCTCTTCCAGAGGAGCTGAGTTCAGCTTCCAGTCCCCAAGTCAGATGGATCACAATCACCTGTGGCTCCAGCTTGAGGGGAATCTGATGGCTTCTGCAAGCACGCACATGGCATATACTCACACAAACCAAATGCATGCACACACACACATAAGTGAAAAAATTTAAAAATCTTATAAAAAGCCAGATGTGGTGGTGCACAGCTTTAATACCAGGACTCAGGAGGCAAAGGCAGGTGGATATCCGTGAATTCAAGGTCAGCCTGGTCTATATAGTGAGTTCCAGAACAGTCAGGGCTATATAGGGAGATTCTGTCTCAGAAGAAGAAGAAGAGGGGAGGAGGAGGTAGAAGAGGAGGAGGATGATGACAAGAAGGAGGAAGTAAAGGAGAAAGAGGAGGAGGAGAAGGAGGAAGAGGGGGAGTAGAAAGAGGAGAAGAAGGAGGAAGAGAAGAAGGAGGAGAAGAAACCATAAGCCTCTATACTAAGTCCTTTCTTGGTTCCATTAAATCTGGGCTTGCAGCTGTCTAAATGAATGGATGACACACTTGAATGCTGACTACTACTTGTAGGTGATCGAAATGGCATGTTTTTCTCCCAGCTCACCTTTCAGTACTGGGCCTTAAACACATACCAGTATGTTAGGTGGCTGGAGTAAAGTATTCCTGACTCATACAGTGCTTGTTACCAAAACGTTCTACAAAATTATCAACTTGCTGGTATGTGTGCAAGGTTAGGAAGAGGGCCTACGAAGGGAAGCTACTTCAAGTCTCACAGTGAAAAACCACATAAAGGGGATATGTTATTCCCAAAAGTGGCTGCTGATCCTTTGACCTGTTAGTAGAAACACAGAAACACTCTGTGGTTTATATCTTCTCATCAAATACCCAGAGATAACCCTGGCAGCCCCCAGCCTAGCATCTTGCACCTGGTCATCCAACATGTCTGATGCTGCAACATCACGTGCCCTGGATGCAGAGCATTCTCAAGCAGTGTGTGTGGGGTGTTACGCACATACAACACACGGAGCTGCAGCCTCTGGGAGGCTAGTTCCTCTCTCAGAGACTGCAGTGTCACTGCAGCTGTGGTCTTGGGGTTTTTGCTTCCTCTTTTCTGGTTCTTCTGCCTTCCAGCCTTCCAGGAACCACACGAAGAAGGCTCACATCTACAGAGGAGCTGGTACAAGTGAGGCTTCAGCTCTCACAGACTGGGGTTCCTGCTGCTGAGGTGATGCTCAGACCACTCAGAGGGGGCCAGTGCCTCAACTGAGAGGTTTGCCCATCCTTCCTCCCTCTTGATTGCTTTTCACTCACCCCTGTCTTTTTAAACACACGGATGACCTGGTTCTAAGGTGATGTGTTCTGGAATCTGGTCCTGTGGATATCAGAGACGTCTCTCCCCTCCTGCAGCACTCAGGCCCAGACCTACAAAAAAAAACTATGGGACCAACCTTCAAACTTTCCTGGCAGAGAGTCGGTGGCCCGGGTCTTGCGCTTCTTCTTCCTCCTCTTGTCACTATCCACGATGGGAAGGGGCTCACTGCTGCCCATCTCTGGGAGACAAGAGGGAACATAAAGAAAATTGCACTGTACCGATCAAGCAGTAAGTTTACCCAGAAGGAGAAAAGAGAGAGACCCAGGAGCTTTATACTGATGGTTTTTAAATATCTGTGAGGGATATTGATTTGTTTTGACCCAGGAGGCAAAACTAAAGGCAAAGCCATTATAGGAGATCATTAACTGTGGGAAGGGACTCAGACAGGCAGCTAGATTAGGAGAGGCGACCAGAAGCCTGCATTTGCCAAGCTTATTAGCACATGGATTTAGGTCTGCCACCAGCCAAACCAGAGTCCCCAAACAGAACAAGCAATCTACAAGCAGGGCTCACCTGTGACCATAAGAAAGTCAGGGTCCACGGGGCTGGGAGCGGGGCAAAGAAGGGAGCAGGAATAGAACCTGATGGCAATGTCAGAAGCTGGGCAATATTTCCATGGATCTGCACTTGGGGCCATGAAAGGCCTTCTATAGAGCTTGCCTTATCTTCAAAGATAACACAAGGGGGTAGGGAGGGCTGAGAACAGCCCCCAATTTCCTTACTCCAGGAGCATAGACCAAATTCCTCATTATTCTCTCCTTTTCTGGTCCTTCCCTGAAAGAGTGCAGGAAGGCCAGCAGTTGACAAGTCTAAGACAAGCTGCTGGATGAGGTCACTTACTGTAAAAATATCATTATCTCCCCCTGGCAGGCACCTGGCTGCCAGGCTGGCAAACACAGACACAGGACATATTAGGCAGGAAGGGTCGGGACAGAAGGAAGCAGCAAAAGACCGAGAGGGGGAAGAGAAGAGGAGGAACAATGAGAGCCAATCGCAGTTTTGTTTCTAGGCCACTCTAGTAGGGGCCTTCCCTGCTAAAGAAAAATTACTTATAGAACATGTCATGCCCCTGATCTGTAGTTGAGCCTTAATACTCTTTGCCTGCAGTTAGAAATAATAAGATTTCTCTGAAGTCTCTGGGTCTAAATCCCCACCAGGGTGATTAAACCTCTACATCCTTCTAAAATAGAGGCAACCGAGAGCTGACAGTGGAGGAAGTGAGAGGCTTCTACACCAAACTTCAATAAACAGAGGCTCTGAGGGCTGGTTTTTCCCGAGAAATTTTTAAATGGAATCAGGCTCTTTGCTCACTGAGGGGAAGGTCCACACCCTTCTGCCAGGATTCAATGGAAGACTGCTTAGTGCCTTCATACATGCTGCGGACAGGGAAGCACTTGGCAGCTGTTAGCAGGACACCTCAATCCAGAAAGCATGGCTAAGCAGCCGAGCACCTGACAGCTCCGCTGAGGGGCTTCCCTCCTTCCATCTCAGGGATCTGACAGCAGCAGGTTTCCATACACTCCAGATAGAGAAGAAAAAATACTGACATGACTAAAAAGAATCCACAGAGTATCTGAAAATGTTATTCCTGCCACCAGCTTCAAGCACAAATTCTACCTGGGGACAACAACTCCTCACAGCTCTCAAAGGATTAAATGCTGCTACTGAAGCAACCATACCCATAAGGTAAACTACAAGGGAACATGCCATTCAGACGCATTTACAGGGCATCGCGGGCAATTCTTCAGAAATAAAGCATAAGGTCATTTATCTTTGAAGGTTTAGGGGAGGGGAACAGAATAGGTTGGGTCACGACTGGACTACTGTCCCTCTGGCGTGCAGTCTAGTGTCAGCCCTTGTCCCAGCTATTTTCTCACCAGTGCTGCAAACCCAGAATGGAGCGAACAGATCTGGTTTCTGCTCCTTCCCCCTCCCCTGGCCATACTCTGATTAGGGGCCTGTGGACAAACCAAACAGCCAACAGGCAGGCAGTGTGGAGAACAGCGGGAGAGCTGGCAGCATTGTGACTCACAGGGGACTCTCAGACATACTTACAGCTCTAGATAGAAAACCCTGTTAGAGGCAATTTATACGTGCTCTTTACCACAGCAGGACTGTGGAGCCTCCCGTGGAAGCGACATACCCCTGGGCAGAGCCACACACTCAATATTAGATTTTATGGCTTCACACACAAAGACAGAGTACCTGGTCTATTCTGCATGGATCTCAATGGAAGAAGGCACGCCAGAAGGGACAAATGGGTAAGGTTTTCCTTGCAAACAGGACTTGTTGAGGGAGAGTTGTTTTTGAAACTAGGAAGGAAAAATGTAGGAAAACATGAAATGAAAGAAGTATGCTCAACTTACCCTATTTTCACAGTAAGAGGGGTGGGGTGGGAGAGGTTGCTGGGATGAGGTGGATCACATTCTAGTTTTATCACAGAGACCTTAATTCAGTATGTCCCAGCCACTGGACAAATGTGTCCTCAGGGAAGGCCCATAATCATGCTTCTCCTTGACCTGCCAGATTCCCGGGTGTAGGAATTCTTCCTGGCCGTCAAAGCCAGCTCAAAAGTCCTTATCCCATGCAGCTCCCCAATAACTCCAGATGAACTATGGTGAGTGTAATCAGTCACTCCGGGAGTCAGGCATGAGGCAAATGGGGTATCACTGTGTACAACTCGTGGCTGGTATTCCTGCCTCTGCTCCCAAGCCTACAAGAGAAGCTCCTGTAGGATGCTGGTTTTCTCGGGCTTTGATTCCCTGTGTTCCTACACTGTCCTCTCTGAACCCATCTCCTCTGTAAGTCACACTACAGCATCAGATGAGCAGCAGCCATCACAGCCCGCACTGAAGCGCAAATGGTATATGGTACATATGGTCCAGGGCACACGGGCCTCTTAAGTGTGCAGTACACACGCTGAAAAAAATGTGGGTGCGCATGTGCCTTGAAGATGGTGTGGGGAAAGGTCGCTCTAGGCTATGAACCCCATTGAATCGACTACACCACACTCTCTCTCCGAGAAGGTCTCAGACACAAACTGTCCATAACTTGTTTTCTAGAAATCTGGCCCTCTTTTAGGTAACATGAAAAGGAAGTGAGCACTTCCCTTCAGTTTCCAGACTGCAGTGGTCAGCAGGGTTTGGGGGCCACATCTGTGTACTCTGGTGGAGGCACACACAGAATAAGGGAGGCACACTTCAGACAGGGGAGGCGCATGGCCAAAAGAACAAAGGTGCCGCTATCACCAGACAGCCTCACGTTTGAGCAACTCTGCCTCTTAAGATCCTTTGTTTCTTCATCTGCAGAATAAGTTTAAAAGCACACTACCCCTGTCTACTTGCAAGACTGTAATAAGATCCCAATGACACAGTTAACACAAATGTGCTTCAAAAACTGTATTATGGACATATAGGTATGTATGCATACACATGAACATACAATAGAATGGGGAGTCCAGGCAGAAATACATGAACCTGTTAATATTATTACTTAAAGTATGCCAGTGAACCAGATAAGTCCCATGCTGGGTAGTTTACATGCTCTTGAAAGTCTGTACCATTTTTAATTTATAGTCATGCTCTATGTAATGGGGTGGTTTTTATTTTCTTCTTCATTCTTTTCAAGATTTTCCAAATTATATGTGAATAAAATTTATCATTTTATCCCATTATTGTCTCAATCAAATTTTACTTTAAACAAAATAAATGGGCTGGAGTGGGACACGGAGCTCAGGGTTGGGGGCGGTGCAAAGCGCCCAGAGGCAATGCTCTTAGCATGCTCAAGGTCTGGTTTTGATCTTCAACACTTTGTAATTCAGAGGTTGAACAAATTGTGTCTAGATTTTTATGTATAAAAATTCAACATTTATCTGGATGTGGAGGCAAAGGCCTTTAATCCCAGCACTTATGAGGCACTCAGTTCAAGGTTAGTCTGGTCTACAAATCAAGAGTCAAGGCAGGGCTACACAATTGAGATCCAGTCTAAACAATGCTGGAGAGCAATTGAAGAAGATATTCCGTGTCAACCTCCTGCCTCCCCACCTCTGTGCACAGATGTATACCTTCAGTTATATGTACATACCGCATACACGTATACACCCACATGAACAGATCGCACCAGGAGTACAGCACATGTTAAGGACAGAGATCTAAGACTCAGCCTGGCACCTTCACTCACAAAGCAATTGGGAGAGGCCAAGGAGTCCTGGGGGTGGGCACAACCCATTATAATAACAGGTACCAGCCACTACTCCCCCAGCAGATGACCTCAAGTCTGCTTTCCAAGATAACTGTCATTTCTTGATAGAGCCTGATGAGTCAGCCCCACTTTCCCTCAAGGTACCGGACTTGGGTGCACGCTATTCCTTGATAGAGTCTGTGTATAGATCACCATTGTACATCTCACGAGGGCCATCTGGTAAACTCAACTTTGCAAATAGTCTCACTCTTCCCCGAGCCAACTCTGCAGCTCTTTGAATATCCCAAGATGTCTGAGTACTTCCTTCATCCTCAAGGGCTTTCTAGAAAGGGAAGAATGGTGGGGAGCAGGTTGAAGGGCATAATCACAGACAAATTCAGCTGTGTCCTCAGGGTCAGCTGAGGAGAATGGACAATGGGAGAAAACTGAGGGGCTGGGTGTAGCTTAGTAAGAATGACTGTCTACCACACTGGGTCCCATCCATATCACCAACCATAACAAAACCATAAACAGAAAAGGAAATGGAGGAACTGAAGGAAGTCTGACACATACTTAAGGAAGGGGTTGAGTAACCCATGTGAGACAAGGGAAGAGAGAACATGAGGGGGGGGGTCATCTATGCCTCTGTAGCAACAGAAGGTGTGGTGCACACTCTCGTGTGGCCCTCACGTGCCAGGCCATGTCTGAAGGTACTTTACAGATCTATGAATGTCTTTATAAGTATTATACTCCACAGACTCACTGATGCGACTTCTCAGCTCTGAGGTAATCATTATTAGTGTCCACATTTTACAAATGAAGAAATTGCTACAAATGGGCAAAAGTGATCTCCCTGTCATCATCTAGTAAGTAAGGAGCAGTGCTGGAACTGAAGCCTTGAGTCTGGCTCAAGAATCTAAGCTTCTAACCTGTCATGACACTGTTCTCAAACACTAATGATGGAGGGCAAAGGTGGTAGCTGGTGACAACCAGGCACCAGTGCTATTGCTTATAAATCTTGGTACAGGGCTTCTTTACTGATGTATTGTGCTGGCTAGTTTTCTGTTAACTTACTACAAGCTAGAGTTATCTGAAAGGGGGTAACTTCAATTGAGGAAATGCCTCCATAAGATCTGGCTGTAGGGCATTTTCTAATTAGTGTTTAGTGCTGGAAGGGCCTAGCCCATTGTGGGTAGGGCCACCCTGGGGCTGGTGGTCCTGGGTTTTATAAAAAGCAGGTTGAGCAAACTATAGGGAGCAAGCCAGTAAGCAGCACCTCTCCATGGCCTCTGCATCTGCTCCTGCCTCCAGGTTCCTGCCCTGTGTGAGTTCCTGTCCTGACTCCCCTTAGTGATGGACTGTAACCTGGAAGTATACTCTGAAATAACAGCCCCCCTCCCAAACTTGATTTTGATCATGGTGAATCATCACTGCAATAGAAATTCTTAACTAAGACACATACTATGAGACTGTTTACACAAGTGTTCCTTGCATGTGCTCCAGTGTCCAAAAGGCTGGGCAGCTTGCATCAAGCTTACATAACCACAGGCCTAAGAGTCATACCCTCACTTCCACATTCATTAACTTTAACCTTCCACAAGTCTCTTCTTGCTCTGAGATACCTCAGTATTTTGTGTTTGGTCATTTTATAGAAGATGAACTACAAACCAACATCTAAGCACATCAGTCATGGGAGTCCAGAATGAAGTATAAGGTGACAATCTTCTCCCATCTGACCTGGGAGTTGGTGGATGTGGTTTCTGATGACATCACTAAGTGTAAGGGAAAAGGAAAGTATATTTGAGCAGAATATTTGGTCAAATTTAACAGACAATAAATGTCAGGGGCCATGTATTCAATTAGCTCCTTCAGAGGACGGTCTGTGAGAGTCCACAGAGCTAGAGGTTTTTTTCTCCTCTGGACTTCCATGTGTAGAAAGGCTGGGACATGTGGTTCAAATCAGCAGCAGTGAAACTGGCATCAGGGTGATACTCTGAAGGCAGTGATACTCGGATGCCCGGAGGCAAACTCAGCCCCATCTTCTCCCAGTGCTCTGATCCTGGGAGTACAAGGGCTTTCACAGCCACTGCAATTCCTGGCGGAAGGAGCGACAGCAGAAGGCTATGGAAGCAGACACAGGAAGTGTGTGTTTATAGAAGGTGAAATGAAGCAGTAGTAAAGGGCAGGGCTTGGGTAGGGAGCAGAGTATTAAGGCTGAGAAAATCAGGCTATGCAAGCCATCCAAGCTCATTAACGCGGTTCACAAGGCCCTCCAACACTGGCCCCTGTCTTCTTTCCACCCTGAATAACCAACAATCATTCTTCTGTGGAAGGACAACAACAGCTTCTTCTTCTTGCTAGGCTTACGATTCAAACAGTGCTACAAGCACCATTCCTTCGTACATCATCGCTGTGCTTTGCTACACAAAAGAAGTGCCCAGTAGGTGCGTCTTCTGTATGTCACCCAGAATATGAGAAGATGGTCCTCAGGTGAGAGTCAGTAAAATGAACACCTGCTTCTTCATCAAGGACATTCTTAGGTGAAAGTGGCTACTAAGTAGGTAGCAGTGAAGAACAGCATGGCTGCGAGCACTGCTCCGCACCATTGCCCTGACTTGTGCTAAAGCATTGGCCGCTAAAACATCTCTCACAGTCACTGCACAGTGACAAACAATATGCAATCACTGCTTTGCAAACTTTTGTGGATCCCCTGGAAGGGTTTCTGTGTGGCACACTCGTAAATCTCTGTTCTAGGCAATGAGGAGGGAGTCAGGAGCACTGTGGTCTTCAAACTGGCTGGGATATGTAGCACAAACTGCACAGAGACAGGGTAGATGGAGGCTGCTGCGACAGGCCAGAGAGAGGCAAGGAAGGCCTACTCCAGAGGCAAGGTGGCAGGGATAGGAAGAAAAGGCATGTTACAGAGTGAGGGAGGAAGCCACAGAGGCAGAAATGGTTCTGCAAACAAGCAGAGACAGTTGAGGAGTCACAGTTTATGACCATCCTCAAAAGAGGGGACACCATTTGATCCTTCTCTAACAACACGAAGCCAGCCATAGAGTGGGGCCTCAATGTAAGTATATGAATATATGCTTTTTAGCCAAAGGCAACTGTAAGAACAGTAGTGCCATCAGAGAAGGGGAGAACTTGGTGGAGGTGGATGGCAGCTCAGGAGGTGGGGAGTAGGAGAAGATAGCAGTGCCACCAGGAAGTGTTAGGTGACACACAGTGACACATAGCAGCTGGGTATTATAAAAAATCACAGGCCAGGCTAAAACAACCTTACTCAAACCTGATGTGTCCCAAATAAATCACTGAGGCTTGACTGATAACCTGCTAGGCATGATGAGGCCTCCAGCTAGAGGAAAACACAGAACACGCCACAACCCAGCATCCAAGCCATGTCTAAAATATAAGTAAACAAACCAAATTTCCAACATTTCCTTGGGAAGAACAAGATTCAACAGGCACAAGAATTTCACTTTTCCTACTTCTGCTGTACTTGGTTTCATCTTGTTATGATGTGGTAGTTTTACTTTTATAGTTAAAAGCAAATAAATATATTTTACTTACTGTTCAGTTTTCCTTCTGTCCCTCTGCCATTTTGTTCCAGAAGAAATGTGGTCCTGTTTACTAAGCAGCTGTCACCAGAAGTTACTGGGACCCAAGATGGCTAAGCCAATGTGCCCAAGCAAATATTGAAAACCATCAACTGCTTAGATGACCTTGAACTCACCCCTTTCTCTGGAAATATGGGAGACATTCAACTCCAAATAATGTAGATAGGTAAGTGGGGGCTGGCATAATGGCTCAGCAGATAAAGAAACCTGTCTCCAAGGCTGATTACTTGAGTCTGATCCCTAGGACCCACATGGCAGATGAAGAGAACTGACACTTGAAAGTTGTCCTGTGACCTTCACACACAAAATGGCAATCACATCCCCAACAAACACAAAATAAAATTAAGATGTGGCTGAAAAAAAAAAAGGGTGTAGGGGAGGTAAACTGTATACCCAATCTTACCCACAAGGCTCTTCAACTCAGCAGTGAAGCTTGTGAACTGAAGTCTCAGAGGAATCCCAAGGTTGCTGTTTTCCAGCCACAGGGAGTTATCCACTGGCCTCTGCCCAGCCAAAGTCCTTCAGTTTGCCACCTGCCTCTCCTTCATCTCACTGACCATGGAAATCTTCAAGAAGCAGAAGGAAAGAGGGTGTGAAACTACTGGCTTCTCTAAGAGAACCAGAGGAGGCCCTGATCAATCTCAGCTCTGTAAGCTACACTCGGAAGCAGATGTCCGTACAGGAGTCACAGATGGCCCTGGGCTTTAAAGGCTGACCGACAGGTACCTGGAAATACTGATGCTAAGCACTAGATTTATCAAGGGTCTGAATAAATAAATATTTCAGATATGCTTCCATTGTGGATTCCAGAAACTAAAAGACGTAACTTGCCATGATGAAGGAGATGAACCCTTTTCCCGGCTCCGAGAGTCTTACATAGAGGGCTCAACCTGACACTGCCTGGTTGCTTGCTTGTGAGAAATGCTTAACTGCTTGCTGGCTTCTGGGGGCCAGGCTCAAGTCTAATAGGCAAGAGGTAATGGCTCCAGCCAAGATAAACTGACCCTGAGAGCAGCAGGTGGTAAAAATGGAGAGTTTTGTGGCCAAAAACAATCATTGCTGATTTCCAATGTGATGACTTCATTTTCTGTAGGCTCAGAGCTATTTTTAACCGTGCACCCTCCCCAGCTTTAGTTATCATGTGTCAAAGTTGCTCAACTTTTGCTCTGTGAAACACACTTGCACTTCCCCTTTTCTCTGAGGAAAAGCACTGAAAATGTGCTTAAGTCTGAATTCTAGGCTTCTGTGCCAAAATTTCTAAGGTTTCTAACTGGAAACTGGATGCATTTCAACGTTACCTCAAATCACATTTCCCAAGTTGGATTTGTCCCCAGCCCTACCATGGATTCCTTCCTCATGATTTCTCTTTTTCTCTATCCGATTACATCACCCTGCCAGTCATCTGGCATAGAATCATTAAGTCATTTCTCCCCCGTCTATGTAAGTTCCAAATGCTCATGTTGCCAGGCCTTTCCCTCGGCCTTGTCTATAGCGCCTTGCAAAGGAATGCCTATTTATCTTTCAAGGCCCACAGCAAATGACTGAGAGGATCTTACTCTAGAGCAGTGTAGACTTCCTTTTTACTCTTTTCAACATCTCACCTAGCTCACAGCATTCTGTTACAACACAAAATATACACCATGATTCTCGCACCAGCCTGTAAGCTCCTTAAAGGCAGGATGCAGATATTTTCATTTAGATATTTTAGCATTTAATACAGCACCTGGCACAAAAGGGCTCCAGTGAATCTGAATGAATTGCTTCATTCACAGTGTCCTGTTCATTGCTCGCTACAGACTTCAGCACATTGGACAGCCCTATCTATTGTGCTTTTTTTATTCCCAAGGGAATCTCCCAGGCTATTTCTATAGGCCAAGGAAGCTTGGCTGATATGATTTCCTGTTCTCACTACTGCCTTTCCAGGGTCAGCCTTGAACATCTACGAACTTTAATCTGCTGCCTTCAGTGTTACTAGAGGTTAGCAATTATTCTTCTGTGAAGAGCCAGGCAGCAAATATTTCACACTGTGTGTGCCACATGGTCGCTGCTTCAGCTGCCTTTTTAGGGAGAAGTGCAGCACAGACTGTATGAAAATGGATGATTATGACACATGTCAACTAAACTTTAATTATGGACACCACAGATTGAATTTCACATACTTTTCATGCCTCACAAAATGTTCATCTCCTCTTGATTCTCCCACCTCCGAACACTTAGAACTGCAAGAAAACACTCTTAGCTTGCAATCTCTACAAAAACAGGTGGCAAACCATAGTTAGCCACCAAGTAGTCTACTGAAGGAAAAAAAAAAAAGAGCAAGGTTCAGAATTCCACTACAGACCTTGCATTTCCCAGCCATTTGGAGCCACTCTAGGGCTGAGGAAGTAGAAAGCTTTCAGACATTAGGTTCTAGATTCAGCTTCTGGCCCTGCCATCCATTAGCAAGGCAGCACTGGAGGTACTCCTTAACCCCTCTTCACTGTCATCATCTACAAACCAGGGGCAGTAAGATGTGCTGTGAGAACTAGAGTGTATCTATCAAACTGTGACACCAATGCCTGGCATTTAAGAGGCACCCCATAACTTCCATTATCCTACCTTGTGAGACAGACTCCCCATATCAACTGTAGCTCTGGAAACCAACCTACGCACTCTGGAAACTACAGCAGGGGAGAACATGGTGTCAGCAAAGGCCACAAGCAGAGGGCAGTTTGGCTGTTTTAGGTGTACGCACAGGAATCTAAGAGCCCAGTTAGCCTGAATGTCCTGTCACCACTCCTAATTCCTTTGGGCCACATTTCCTCTTCACCAAGGACTTGAGACTCACAGAATGCAAGGGATCTGTCACTTGACTCTCAAGACAGAGAACATCTGGGGGACACATTTCCACCCTTGATCTCAAAAGCCAGACCTGAGCTAGATGCCTGTGCTGGGGTGACTCGGGCCTCTCTTCACTGCCCAGATCTGCCTTCCTATGATGCTTACCCTCTCCTCCAGAATTCTTTACCAGCAGTCCAGCCAGAGGGACACAAGCGCTGCTTCTACCTGACTGCCCTAAGTCATTTCCCACAAGTGTGCACCACTCTTTCAGAGTACCTGTGATGCTTCACCACTCGTCTCCCCTTTGGCTGAGCCAGGGGTAGAGTGGGATAACCTGAGTCAGCTCTGGGTCCCTCCAGCTAGCACAGAGCTGCCACTTAATGAGTCAATGAGACTTCTGAAGCACTCTCCCCTTAAACTGTTTTAGTTGGACTCTTATTAGCAGACTGAGCACAGTCTGGGCCACTGCCAGGAAGAGGGAAAACCTTAGAGAGAGAAAAGAAGCATAACCAATGTGATCCAAGCGATGGAAAATAGGATGAGGTGAAAGCAGCCAGGCAGTGTAGCCTGGAGAACTGAAGATGAGGCCTAATTGGATTCCGGCTTTAAGTACAGAAAAGGTTCTCATGAGAAAATCTTGATCTCATCCTCGCTTTATAATCAGAAGGAACTTTTCTATATTCATGGGAAACAGAACAATAAGAACTCACTCAAGTTAAGGCTGGGGAGTTGTTTAAGCTGGGAGGAGCTAAATTAGACAGCACTTCCTAGAGATACCAAACTGTTGTTCTTTTTGGCAAGGGAACTGGAGGGGCCTTGCTGCCTTTGCTGAAGGCTGTGGAAAAGAAAATGAACACCTGCTCTGGTCCTGTTTACTGTGGAGAGAAGTGTGGAAAACATGAGTCAGGTAAGATTTTCTATCAAGCCACTGGCTTTTTGGTTGACTGTTTCCCACCAAGTACTCTTTGTGGTATCATGCTTTGGAATCCTGTGATGGAATCACCTAGCATTTCTAAGTTTCTTGATGGGGCAATGAAAAGAGAAAATAGCAATGTCAGAGTAAGACAGTGGAGAGAATGGCCCTACTATATACGCTCCCCATGAAATCAGTACCAAAGTGGGCACTAATATTGTTAGGGAATATCTGTGTCCCATTGCCCAGATAAAGAAATCTGAAACTAGGCAAAGCTAAATAACTTGTTCAAGTCATACAGCTAGCCAGTGAGAGAGGCAGAACTCAAGTTTAGACAGTCCAATTTAAAGTTTGTGCCCTACCTATTTCTTTCCCACATGGGGAAAGAGTCTGGAATTTAAACCTCCTTTCTGAATCCAGGTTTATCCTCTTTGCTTTATCTTTAGACAGGCAAGGCAAGGAGAGCAAAGCAACACATGACATTAGCAAAAGAGAAGATCTCTCAAGTGAGCCCAAACTCTCTATGCTGGGGAAGGAGACTGAGACACACAGTGGGGGATGAGTAACACCTGGACTGAAGGCCAGGCTCCTGGCTCCAGCTCTGTCCATTTCAGATTCTTGTTGAATATGGAAAAACAAATGAAGCACTACGATACTGTCAATTGTATCTCAGGATCTGTACCTGAAATCCAAGGGTGCCCACAGCCTCTGTAAGCTCTTTCTAAGATCATAGGAGCTAAGGACAGAGATGCACTGATTGACAGTACTGTGACAGGAACCATGTACAAGCCACATAACCTACACAAGCATACTTAGCCCAGCCATCTCCGGGGCCTCACAGTTGAAGCTTCCTCATTCATATCCCTCTTCTGGAAGCTTCTTTGTTCCAGTCAGCCTGTGTCCCACAGCCACAGTCAACAGAGGCCTTATCATGACATCCAGAGTCCTGCAGCATCATGGAAAGAATATGAGCCTTTGAACTCAACTTTCCTAGGTCGCCACTTACTAGCTACCTGACCCTAACAAAGCTACTTTAATCCTTCTGAGGTTTGGTTTCCTGGTCTTTAAATTGGGGATAAATATCCCTCTATTACAGAGGCTGTGAGGATTAAGTAAATTATAGTGTGCACACTATGTGGCTCATTGCAGGCCACAAAGCAGACACTCGATGAGGGTTAGCATTCTCCTCTCCCCACGATCCACAGCAACAGAGTCCCTGCTCCCCCCCCCCCCCCCCCCCCCCCCCCCCACACCAACAGGCCCCCCCCCCCCCCCCCCCCCCAGCATGCCTATGCCTACATATATTTCTGCCCCCAGACATGGCTCCAACTGCCCTTTCTCCCAGGAATGAGCTCCCTCCGCGTTCCAGCCTAACTTCTCCACCTTCAGGGATCTGGTCACACAGGACTGATGTCTCCTCCCTCCAAGCCCCCACTTGGTTTACATTCCTTACTTCATTTACCCAAGTCAGTCTGATTTCAATTATTTGTGTACTGGCCCATCTTCCTAAAAGAAGGCTTTGAGAAGGCAATTACTTTTTTGTTCTGTTTTTTGAGACTGTGTTTCTGTATGTAGGTTTGGCTGTCCTGGACTTGTTTTGTAGACCAGGCTGGACTTGAACTCACAGAGATCCACCTGCCTCTGCCTCTTCTGGGATTACAGGCATGAGCCACTGTGCCTGGCTGACAATTATGGGAGAGCAAATAACACGTTGTTATCCTTGGTGCGTTTTTCTCAGTGCTAGAGGCTCTCACAGCAAGACTGTATATGTCACTGAATAGAATCTTCCTATATTACACTGGGAATCTTTATTGAAAGGCTGAGTTTCCCCTAAAACTATTCATTTTAGCCAGGTGTGATAGTGCATGCCTTTAATACCAGCATTCAGAGAGGCAGAGGCAGGCAGATCTCTGTGAGTTCAAGGCTGGCCAGGTCTACCAAGCAAGTTCAGGATAGCCAAAGCTACAGAGAGAAATCCCATCTTGAACCTCCCCCCAACAAAAACAATAAACAGACCATGTTTGTGTTCCTGGGGAGCATAGTCAGAGCCTTGTGAACACTAGGCCAGGGGGATGCCACTGTGCTAAGCACCAGTACAACAATTTTGTAAGAATATTGATATTCCCAAGTCAAGATCTGCTAGTGTGCATGCGGACTTGCTTCAGTCCTTTGTCTATCCTTCTGGGACATCTTGGACTCTTGGGACAGCTCTTCAGCTTGCATGAAAACACTGCTGGCAGGATGGCTTCCACTCACCGAGGATGAGGGCTCCTGGAGCAAGCTTCCAGAGAACTGTTCCACTCCATTGGGTAGGTGACATTAAAACCATACTAAAAATCCAGAACTATGGGATCAGAAAACAATGGAAATGATTCCTATATGCTTTGGTTTCTGAGTCTATAAACTAGTTTAAGGTACTTAAAACTAAGTGTTAGCTTCATTAACCATGTAGAGTGACTTAGGAGGCATCACAGGAAGGTTAGTCACTTGAGCTTAGTAACTAGAGACCAGCCTGGGCATCATAGAGATACATTAATTTTTAAGGGCATGGGCTGCTCTTGCAAAGGACCTGAGTTCAGTTCCCTACACTCATGTTGAGTGGCTCAAAATAATGTGTAATACCAGCTTTAGAGAATCCAATACCCTCTTCTGGTCTCTCTGGGCGCCTGCATTCATGTGCACACCCACAACTAAAAAATACAAATAAGGTTAGATGTGCTGGTTCAAATCTTTAATCCCAGCATGTGGGAGGGAGAGGTAGATGGAGCGCTCTGAGTATAAGGCCAGCTTACATACTTACTGAGCTCCAGGCCAGTCAGAGACACATGGTGAGATGCTGTCTCAAATTAATTAATTAATTGCTTAGAGTAGAATTGGGAAAAACAAGTGTCAGGACATGTCACTTCCAGAACTCTCCATCCTTGACTGAGTCCTTGTGTAATCTCGGTCCAGTCTTTCCCCATCCATAAGATGAAGGTAATAGAACCAGATGTTTCCTGCGCTCTTTCTGCCTTCAAGAACACACACACACACACACACACACACACACACACTATGATCAACAAAGAACTTTCTGTTCCATATGCTGGACCTGTTGGCAAAGAAAAATGTGAATTTGTAGCTATTGGTCCCACACGGAAGGGACTACTGTTTACCAAGGGCAGAACAATTGATTAGCCAGCCACCTGCCAGCTTTCCCCACATGAGCTATATTACACGCCATACAGGTCCCTGAGCACAGCACAAGTTCTCTCGTAACTAAATTCAACAACAAAAAGACCAGGCCCTGAAATCAATGACAGCAATGAAGAATCTTGGCTCATGAAGAATTCCTGCACCTTTGTGCCTCGGATGCCAGTAAGTAGGGCATCATTCGTCTAAACCAGGGCCCTTCTCAGCCATGGAGGAAAACACAAGGTCTCCTTCTAATCCTGTCAGCTTGTAAAACAAGGACCAAAGCCAGCAAATAGAAATAAAATCACTGACCCATATAACCACAGCGTTACAGAGACCTACTATGTGCCAGACATGTGCCATGAAGAGGAAGTATGACAAAGATCTGGCTCCTTGCCACCAACTGTAGTCAGGGTACAGATGAGTAATGTACCACAAGACAGACCTTGCTAAGAACTTACTGGAAGTTCAGTCTCTGCTACAAAAGACTGGAACGGGAGCATCTAATTCAGCAGGAGGGTGAGAAGCTTCACCAAGGAGGTCATAAGATGTGCTGTGAGGACCCAATGAAGAGGCTGTGAAAGGTGCCATATTGTTGAATTACTCTAGACCACATAACAGGAGACCATGCTCTTCCTAGCTAAGCATGTGCTGCAGTTTGCCGGCTTCTTCTCAGAACTTCTCTCCCCATGGTTTGGCTGGCTGTTGCCAGGCCCTGCCTCTCTGACAGCCAAATATGCTAAAAAGCTCTAGAGCAACGACACTCCTACACAAGCCAAAGAATCCTGAGGAACACTGTGGTGGGAGCAGATTCGAGGAAGGGGCTCCAAAGTTCCCAGCTAGCTCACTTTTATACACAATCCTGACCCTGTGTCTATCTTTCACGTCACTGTCAGGCCAGGCCCCTTTAGAAAGCTTGAAGCTAAGGACGGCGGGCTGAAGCTCTTTGGCTTGGTGGTTGGGGATCCAGGAGACAGTATATGTCAACTACTCAGCTTGTGCTTGGCACATGGCCTGCGGTCAACAAGTTTTAGCTCCCTCCTCATACTGCAAGGTCAGTTCCACGAGTAAATCCCCCAGAGGCTCCAAGGCTCAGGTTACATCAGCTTTCCCCCTGGGGCCTCCCTGAAATATGCCAGACGAAAATAATCTTCCCTAGAAATCACAACAATTATGTGTCAGTACCCAAATCATACTTAACCTTCACAGTGACATTACTATACCCATTTTAACGGAGAAAAAGCTCTGAGAGAGAAAATGAGTTGTCCTCAGGTATGTCCTAGGAGATGGGAAAGCATGGCTGACCCCAAAGTCAAGCACACCCATGCTCGTTTCTAGCCTCTTGGCGTCCACAGTCCTAAAGCTGGGAGAGAGGCTGCATCCTGCCCAACCTCCTACTTGTCTCTGCTGAAAAAAAAAAAAAAAAAAAAAAATGTGGCAGGAGCTTTTAAACACTGTATTGCAAAATAAGTGGAAACAGTTAATTTAACCCAACGTACTTATAACATACTCATGCCGGTGGGCTCTCTGAGCCTTGAGCCCTGCCACAGCCTTGAACGAATCCTTGTTCGGTCTAAGGCTCAAAACCCCCGTAAAGGCTGAGCTCCGACCGCCGGTTCCCACGGACCTGTCACGATCCAAGCCCTCCCCAGGCGCAGGCTGAGAGCCTGGAGTGGGATTTTACTCGCTGCAGTCTGGGCAGTGAAGCAGCTCAGAGGACAGCCCTGAAAGGATGTCCCCTTCGGCTGCCCCAAGCCCAAGGATCGGGTCGTGACCTCGAGCTGCCCAGAAGGCCCTGACTGCCCCTCCCGGGCGCACCGCCGCACTGCAGACCCCGGCCCCGTTCCCCGCCGACGGACTGCTCGCTCTCTGGCTTTTACCTTAGCTGACCACCGCGGCCGCGCGCACCCCCACCTGCAGGTCTCTGTCGAGAACGCGGAAGAGGCGGGGCTAGGCTCAGGGGGCGGGCCCGAGCAGAAAGGGGCGTGAGGGGGTGGAGTCACGCCTGCGCCCTGAGGGCCACACGTGGCGAGAGGACGCCGAATACACCGCGCAGGCGCTGCGTAGCCGCCAGGCAGCCGCTTGCTGCTGGCCAGCGCGTCCTGAGTGTTTATCCCAAGTAGCGAGAGGAAGACCTCGGGTGCAAATAGTTTCTTCGGCGAGCCAGACCGAGGGCAGCTCTGCTAAGTAAAGTTTATTTTTGAGACAAGGCCTTGCTATATACCTGGGGCTGGCCTCAAACTCGTTTTTCTTCTGACTCAGTCTCCAGAGTTCTGTGATTACAGCCTCACACCACCACGCGTGACTTACCAAATTTCTACATAGGTCTGTGTAAACGGAATTTCACAAGGACTTGAATAAAACATTAATTTCCAGTAATTAAAAACTTGTTTGTTTTGATTTTTTTTTTTTCGAGAAAGTCTCCCAGGCTGGCCCCAAATTTACAGAGCTTCTCCCCACCGGTGCCTCCCGAGGGCTGGGATTAAAGGCGTGTGCCACTACACCAGTTAAAACAAAGGTTCTTAAAGATCTTTTCCTTCCGCCCTGTGTGAGTATGTTAGATTAGAGTAGATTAATTACGATTAATTAGACTAATGCCTCCAGCAGCCTCCCTGCCTCACTTCCACAGGCTGCAGGTGCCTGGGAGGGCAGGACTGATGCTCGGCTTCCGTTCAGGTTCTGACGCAGTTTTCCTTTGTGTGGGGAAGTAAACATCCCTATCCCATTCAGTATTGTTGTTAGGGTCTGGTGAGCAAGACGCTTAAAGAGCTTCTCAGTTTCCCATCACTCATCTCGAAAACACATGTTCCCTCTTCTATGTATTCAACTCTGATGGGAGGAAGTGGGAGTATTCAAGACCTCGCTAGATTTCCAATCTGGATGAAGACTGGGAAGGGTTGTCTTTTCCCAAGCTTTTGTATTTGGTCTCTTTCTGATTTGAGTTCCACACAAAGGCTGGATATCTCACTCGTCCAATTTACAGCCTCCCAGGCTCACCAAGCTTCCGGTCTTCACAGGCCTTTTTAGCCTATTCCCCAACTCTTGAGAGCCAACTTGTCCCAAGTCACTCAGACATATATTGTATTTCAGATTCTCAGTGTTTATACTCCCCCCCCCCCCCCCCCAGAACCGTGGTTAACTAACATTGGGTAAAGGCTCTAGGGTCTCTCAGGAAGGAGGGCAAACCATGTAAGACTCAGACCTTCTTCTGGCCCATCTTACTACATTCCACAGCACCAGGGAACATTGAAGGGGCTGCAGAGGTCATGAAAGCCACAGGTCATCCAGCATCATTTCCTCAACGGGGGATGTTCTGCCTCAGGGTGGAGAAGATTATTTTCTGTTCCCTGCCCCAAAGATTGATGCAGATCCTGAGCCAACGGGACAACAAAGCCCTGGTAGTTTTTGCTCTTTTCTCTCATTCCTGAGGTCAAATCTCTTCCTTTTTGTCCTCTAAGCATCCCTCTTCAGTCTCTCAAAGCAAGTGTGTGTCTGTCCTGTGTGTGTGTGTGCGTATGTGCTTCCTAACATATTTCCAGACATCTCAAATTTGAGATAAATCTAAATCTTACTTCCATAATGTACATGAGTTGCTAACATTAGAACTGTCCAGTGACTGAAGAGATAATGGTTTGTAACAGGTTTGAAAACACCACTTTTTAGAATGCTGGGGTCTGGACATTAGAAGGAGCAGCAAAATTGTTGGGTAGCAAGCGCCTTTATCCACTGAGCCACCTTGCTAGTCTACCACTAGGAAGTGTTTCAGAGAAGGAAGACACTTGCCATGAGACCTCAGGAGCTGGCTAAGGCTAGAGCTCAGGCCTCTGCCTCCCACGCAGAGTCCCTGCTGGCCCCTTCGCAGGTATAGGAGGAACTCTAGGTGGGCCTTTGCCGAGTCTTCAGAACCAAGCTGCTTTTAACTCCTGTGTGGCACGTGGTTGGGGCTGTCTACCGGGGAAATGAAAACCTCTGGATTGAAACCCGCCCCACCTTCCCTACTTTGAGTTCTGAGAGTGCCTTTCTGTCCTGTGATTGGGGTTGTGGCTGTGTTTCCCACTGTACTTTTAGCCATTGGTTCCTCCAAACCACCCAGATATGAATGGGGATAGTCAGTGCCATGTGCCTTTACAAGGAAAGACCCCCCACCTCAGAACTGAGTTCCTTGAAAGCAAGGGCCTACATGGCCCTCCCCTCCCCTCCTCAAGACTCCTTAGTTTGGTCTAGAATTCATAGCCCTGAGAGAACTTGGGTGTCCTCACACTGGAGAGCTAGGTCAGTTATCATTGTGCCTTTAAAGTCCAGGATCTTAGGACAGAATGTCTTTTTTAACCCGCTCTGGTGGTCTCTCCTACAATCTGCCAAGACCATATGGCACCCAGACCACAGCCTCCTACTATTGGTTGTTTTAGTTTGCATCTTTTATTTTACCAAAAAATAGCAAAATCTTCCCCTTTCTCACAAAAATAATCCCCCCCCCCTCCATCATCCCTTTTCACAGCCTAGATTTCAGAGTATATTCTGCAGCCCACTCAGGGGAATCTCCTACTCTCCTCAGTTCTGAACCATTGCCATAGCTGCAGGCTAGCATGTTTCCCTTGGGGACTTTTCTGGAACCGGCAGAGAGAGAGAGAGAAAGACGTTCCAGGTCCTGCTGGTCTGGAGAGCCCCAGCTGTTTCTCTGGAGGGCAGACACTTCCTCAGCCATAAGGAGGGTCCTGGTTTTAGAGGTTTGTCTCAGCAGCCAAGAGTCAACCCAGGGGTGGTGGGGCTCTCTGGCATCAGGCTAGAAATCCTTGCTCAGACACTCCTGGAGAGTGTCTGACAACCCCTATGCGTCTCAGTGTCACAATCAGCAGGCCCCCCGAGTTGAAGTTGACAGCTTTGGCTTTTATGCGGGTTTCAGTTTCCTCCTCTGCAGAGTGAGAGACAGAGATGAAATTCTTCTGTGACTTCTTGTTCTCCATCCTGGCCTCTCAGGATGAGGCTCTGGAAAGGCAGAGAACTGTTTCTGTCACGGTGTCCCTCTCTGTGAATCTGTGCACTGGGCTCAGGATGGCAGTACTGAGTCATGGCTACTGACTGGGCATCCCAGCCTCTCTGGATAGCTGGGCTTGGAGATCTAAGAAGGTGGAATGTGCTGGATGGTTGGGTGGAGGCAGGTATTTTTAGGGTGAGAAGGTCTTCATCAGTTACTTGGTTCTTAGTGTCCTGAGACTCCAGATTCCCCAATTCTAGTAGCTCTTTGGTTTGGAGGGCTACTTTGTGCTGGACGTCAGTCATGTCAGTAGATTCTGGGTTCGAGCCTGAAGTATCCTGAGTCCAAGTTCAAGAGCCAGGGGACCTTTGTGAACATTGTGGATCAATCCCAACCCTGAAGAGGCTTACTGTTTGTTTTGTTTAGTCCTGGCTGTCCTGGAACTCCCTCTGTAGACTAGGCTGGCCTCAAACTCAGAGATCCTAAGTGCCTGGATTAAAGGCGTGTGCCACCACTGACCAGCACAGAGGCTTACTGATATCAGGATCTCTCTGGAGTCAGAGAGATGAGTGAAAAGACAATCACGGACATCCTTGGCTGCACAAATCAGCCCACATGGTGGTAGGCCAGAGGCTTAAGAAACTCAGGGCAAAGCTGTGTAGTTTGTAACCTCCACTCAACTGCCTGAGACTCATAGTGATGGAAAATGGTAGTCTAGGAGATTCAGAGCTACAATTCCATCTACATGCACCTTCTGTTCTCTTGTACATATGGTCAGAGTTGAGTTGGGTCACTAAGCTGTCATTACTCCTATAATAATCATGGACTTACTCTCAGCCTGTCCATCCATCCATCCATCCATCCATCCATCCATCCATCCATCCACATGAGGGCCTACCATGTTCAGGAAGGACCTGGATCTCTCAGACAAATCCCATAATCAACACACACACACACACACACACACACACACACACACACACACACACA